GAGTCAAAGGACATCAAAGCTGGAACTAGAGAGGCCTAACAGGGGATACCTGTGGTAGTAGGCCCCAAGATGCAGGGACACAGCAAGGGACCTGAAGTCAGAAGCCAGATCTCCAATCCCTGGCTATGTAACTTGGGCCAAGTTGCTGAGTCCCATCTTTAAAAGGGGATAACAGAATCTTCTTGTTATAAAGTCACAGTGAAAATTAAATGAAAATGTACCTGAAACCCTCCCACCCCAGAGTCTAGCATGTAATGAGTAGATGCTCCCTCCATTCCTGGCAGGAGGATCAGGGCCTTGGGAGCAGTGGGAAGTTCTTGAGTCCACAAGGCAGGCTCTGGGTATAGCTAAGGCCTCAAATGCATAGATGCTCTTTCTCAGCTCCAGCTTCTACAGTCAGCCCACATGGGGTCCCTGGCCCCACCCCTGCTGCAGCCCCAGCCCCAAAAGGGTGGACAAGAAGCCACACTTACTTGAGGATGTCCTTCTTATTGAAGAAGGTGCAGTCCTGTGGAGGGAAAACATACACACACAGTGGGCTGTGCGGCCCAAGGCTCCTTCCTTTCTCAGAGCCCTTGAGCCACAGGTCCTCACCACACAGCCCTGTGCTGGGGGCAGAAGAGACTCTATTTCCCCTCCCACATCTGCCCACTGCCTGGGAAGCCAAAGCATGGGTGGAGTGGGGCTGTGAGACATGCTTGGGGATGTACAGTAAAGAAGGAGCTGGAGTTCACAGGTTGTCTTAAAGGCCAGTGGAATAAGCTGTGAGAGAACGGGAAGGTAGCTGGGACACTAAATTCTGACCTCCACTGAGGATGCACATGGCCACCACATTACACTAGTTCAGGTCCTGAGGATGGGGCCTCATGGAGRTGTGCAAGGTACATTGTGCATTCTGGATGGTCATGGGAAGCAGCCCTATGTTGGGAGACAGTAAATTCCAGGAATGTGGACAGAGGAAGCAACAGTATATATCCAGTGTCTGAAGCCACAGAAATGGGTAAGGTCACACAGTGGGAAAAGAGGAGGGATGGAGGACTGGGGGAAGAGGCTGTGGAGGARGAGGGTGGGCAGGGAGCCTTGGAAGCATCTGGACAAAAGAAAGGGTGGAGGCTGCTAAGGAGGCCCAGGTGGGTTACCCAGAATGGGCAGCACTCAGCTCCTGAGGTCATACAGATTATAACCTCCTAGGACTTACCTGGTGGCCTGGTCTGCCTAAAGTGGGTAAAAAATACTGGCATCTTTGATGGTGTCTATTTATTTATTTATTTGTCAATGGACCTTTATTTTTTATTTATTTGTAGGCAGTGCTGAGAATCGAACCCAGTGCCTCACACATGCTAGGTAAGCGCTCTACTACTGAACCCCAGCCCCAGCCCTTTGATGGTGTTTTTTATGCCAGGCTTTGGAGGGAAGCAAAGAGGTAAAAAGGATCCAGCACTTCCTAAAATAGCCAATGGAGAAGGCCTTTTATGTGTATCCTCCGCTGTTGGGCTCCTGTGTCTTTGTCCACTGTTGCAGTATGAAGGAAGAAGGCCTCTTAGGCTCTGCAGAGCCCAGAGCCTGGAGGGCCTCCTGGGGCCATATGCTGAGCAGAGCTGCTCTGATGCAGGGTGAATGGCTGCAGCCCAGGCTTGCAGACAGCCAGGCTGGCCTGGATAAGACCTGAAACCTCTGGACATCAGGTCAATTGGATTGCATGTTGAGGCAGGCCAAGAATGATGCCCATAGGATGCCCACAACAGGGAGGGCTCCATTGGGCACCTTCAGCTGGGGACAGTTGGTAAGAATGTCTGGGTCCCATGAAGCCAAATAAATCTGTCCTTCTGGGAGTTAGATGAAGGACTCTATGCTGCCTTGCCCTTCTTGGAAATGTAGGTGCTGCTCCTGGGGGGACTTGGCTTTGCTTTTGGCAATGGCTCCTCTGTGGGAGCCATGAAAGGCTCAGGTTGGGGAAGCAGTGGCTCCACCTTCCACCCAGCAGGCAGAAAACTCCTGCCTGGCAGGTCTAAGACTCAGAGAGGCTGGGAACCATGTGGGCTGATACTCTGGAGACCTGGTTCAGGCAGCCTGACTGAGCCTTCCAGGTACAGATGACCCTCTGCTGCAGGCTGGYTCTGAGGTTGGAAGGTGCCAGTCACAAGGGCCAAGACTCTGCTAACTAGCCAGGAGGGGGTTGTTGGCAGACCTGGAATGAAGAGGTCCTGGTTCCTGATCTCCTCTCTTCTGATCTGTCTGCTCCCTCCTCCCCTCCCCTCTCTCATTGACCCTGGGTTAGAAAGGAAGTATTCAGGTCCTGACCCAAGGGTTCTACTGGCAAAGATGCAAAAGCTTCCCATATAAACCTGGGCTCTTATCATGATTATTACATCTCTCTACATCAATGGTCCTTAAGATGGGGTGCCTGGACCAGCAGCAGCACTGGGACCTGAATTTTCAGAAGATCCCTCCTGTCCTTTGTCCCTGCATTGTTGCACCAGGAGTCCATATTCCATAAATGGTTCCCTAGGGTCTTCAACAGCAAGAGGGGACTGGCCAGTGCAGTCAATGCAACTCTTTGTTCATGGATTATTTTCATAGAAAAATTTTGTTTTACAATGATGATATACAGTGTCCACTGAAAGGAAAAGGGAAGAGAGAGAACAGAACAGAAGAGATGAGATAGAAGGGGAAAGAAGGAAGAGGGAGAAAGAGTGAGAGAACCAAGGAACTGTGGCAAAAGCCAGTGAGTGGCTGGGGTGGAGGGAGCAGATAGGAGGGGTGAGGAAGGAGCAGTTAGACCTCTCATTCCCAGGAGACTGAGGAGGTCTGGACCAGGGCCAGGCCCTGGGGTTAAAGGAGAGGTACCCAGGTGAGACACAAAAGAGACTTGTTCTTAACTGAAAATGGGGGCTAAAGGAAAATGGAGWGTTGGAATGGCTGGAAGAGCAGCGGTGGGTTCTGGGAAAGGTAGTGAGGCCTGTTTGAGAGTTTGAAGGTTCTGGGGAATAGATTTACAATTCAGAGTGACCTAGACAGAAGCTTAAACTTTGGGAACCAATGACACCTGGGAACTAGGAAGAAGGCACCCTTCCTTAGGGAGAGAAGACTGTCAGGCTGGAAGTCCCAAGAAACCTGGTGATCACTTGGAGCAGAGGTGGCTATAACTCAGGGTCACCCCATCCAGCACTGGCTGGCCATGTTGGACAGCCAGAGGGAAGGAGATGGGGCCACTCAGATTTCATGTCTCTCATTTCTCCCACCCGCCTGGCAGGGTCTAGCCAGGCCTGGCAAAGGATCAGAACCCAACACTGGAACTGGCTCTGATGGGTAACCCAATAGGCTGGTCTGAGTGGGAACCCAGGCTCCCTATCCCCGCCCCAGACCATTCTTTGTTTCTGGGTATGGGCTGCTTGCCCATGCCTACCTCTAAGCTTTTATTCAAACTGCCACCTCCACCTGGAATGTCTCCTCATGCACTGCTGAGTAAAATGCACCCATCTTCCAAGGGCTTGTTCAAGCACTGCACTGTTTCTAAATCTTGCAGACAAAGCAAAAGCCAGCTACCTCCAGGTATTCCCCTGCCTGCTAACACTCCTCCCTAGAACACACTCCACACCTGCCTCTATCACAAGGGCCACACTGGAGGTAAAAGTCTGTCTCACTTAAACTTTGAGTGTCTTCTGGACAAAAAAGCACATAGTCCAGCCCACTTCATCCCAAAGGAAGAAAGCCAGCCTTGGGTTTGCTATTCAAATTTCTAAGTGAGACCTGAATGYCCAAGGCTCCTTAGCCTCTGTTTACTTTCCTATAAAATGGAGCGAATGATCCACCTCACTGTGATGGTCAAGTGAGTTGATGCGTGGAGGGCATTGACTACAGTGTCAGGTATACTTCTAGCTCTCCATAAATACTCTCTTCTTTCCTGAGCCTCACAAGAGGAACTGAGAAATCTGTGTTACTGATAAGTAGGAGACAAAGGGGCACTTATTTTACCTTCACCCACATCAAAGGACCCACACTTCAAGCTCGCTTTCCTTCATGCCAACACAAATATTCATGAAAGCTCCAGGTATCTACTATGTTCCTCTCTCCCAAGACAGTGGTGACAACAGGGTCCTGTCAGCCCTGCCTSGGGGAGTCAGGGAAGGTATCAGAGTAAGGCCTTGAAGGCTGGGAGAGATCACCTGGAGACAGGTGTCTCAGGCCCAGGAAACTGTACAGAAAAGAAAGAAACGGAAGGAGGGAAGAAGGAAAGAGCATGGCCAGTTGGGGATTGTRGACTGTTCTGAGGTAGTGGTAGTGCAGTCAGTAGGCAAGGGACCTGGAGAAATTGAGGCTGCAGAGGTAAGCTGGGCAGTTGGCCAGGGATCCTGGTAAGTCAGGGGTGGGGGCTTCATCTACAAGAATTTTTTACATGGGTGGGAGGACAGTGGGATCCTGGATCCTGACAGCTGGTACTGGAACCTAGAAGGATCTAAGGAGTGCTMTTGGGGGTGCTGACAGAGATTAAAGAAGTGGCCATGTAAGAATGGTACCTGGCTTACCTTCTTGTTCCAGTTATTTCCATGTTGKGGCCAGAGGGATCACTCCAACAGATAAACAGCCCAAGTTAAGACCACAATTGGGGCTATAAAACCCCACTCCCAACCCTTCTTGGGACTGTGGGGACTGACAAGGCTTTCGGCTCACGTTTTCTAACTCTCCATCTCAGTGCCAGGTGGTCGCTGGGAGGGGTGGCTTGGGTCCAGCTTGGACCCAGCATTAAGGSTGGAYGGGGGAGAGAGGAAGGGAAAGGGAGCAAGGTGTGCCCGACACAAATTTCCACCTGGAAAGCACTGTCGTTCCCCAGGCGGGGAAACTGAGGCTCCGCGAGGGGTAAGTCACCAGCCCAAGGTCAGGCTGCGCGCTGAAGGCAGGAGTAGGATTTGAACCCCAGAGAACTGGCTTCCCCGCGGTCTTTTCCCAAGACAGGAGGGGCGGAGGGCGCCGCTTCAGGGACCGGGGCGCGCCGGGCTCACCTGGTAGTTGTCCAGCTGCTCTTCGGTGAAGATGGTCTGCTTGTTCCCCATGGTGGCTGCGGCGCCGTCGTTCGCCCGCGGGTGCGCCGCCTCCCATCAGCGGCCGCAGGAGCCGGGAGCCTMGCGCCCCGCGGCCCTCTCCAGCCCCGCGGCGGGCAGCGTCCCCGGGCGGCCGGACCCGCCACCCCGCCCCGCGGCTCGCCCTGAGGAGGTTAGCKGGGGGCCAGAGGCGCCGACCCGGCCCCGGCGTGGCAGCGACTCCGCCCCCGGCGGGGAGGCGACGGGCGCCGGACTCCGGTGTTGTGCGCTCGGGGCCCGCCAGGCGGCGGCGTGGCCGCGAKAGGGCTCCTGGTGCCGCCGTGCGCGCGTCTGCAGGGCCCACCCAGGACTTCCGGCCAGCAGGGCCAGGGTCGCTGCGGGTGAGGGCGCCGGGCCTGGGAAATCCCTTCCAGGGATGGAGTAGGGCGAGTGACACCATCTCGGTGTGGGGCAGGGGTCCCTGTACGGTGAGTGCCGGGACCTAGTTGGAGCCCGACTCTGCCACCGTCTGGCATGGCGACCTTGGCCAAGCCCTTCTCCTGGGCCCGGTGGCTCCGATGAAGTGGGGGTGGGGTGGGGTCAGTCTAGCTGACCTCCAAAACCCTCCGTGGCCGATTCCCGCAAACCTTTGGCCGCAGCCTGGGTAGGGCATCTCAGGTCTTCTAGGCTCCTCAGGGAGGAGCACAGGATTTGCTTGGCATTCTCTTATACCTGAGAGAATTCGAAGAACTTATTGTATCCAGAGAAGTGTGACAAAGGCCAGTACGTTTTCTTGGGGTTTTTAAGCAACTGCAAAACTTGAACCTCAGAAGATATCAGGGGTGATGAAAAAAGCCGGCATGGTGGTGCACCTGTAATCCAAGCAGCTGGGGAGACTGAGGGAGGAGGATGCAAGTTCCAGGCTAGTCTCAGCAATTTAGCGAGGCCCTAGGCAACTTAGCCAGATCCTGTCTCAAAATAAAAAATGAAAAGAACTGGGGATGTTGCTCAATGGTTGAGCATCCCTTGGTTCAATCCCTGGTACAAACAAAACAAAACAAAACAAACAAAAAACACCTYAATCTGGGTCTGAGAATTAATTTGGCAAAAGGACAATATTAACAGCAGAGAAGCAGACCCATTTATTTAATTAAGTTTTACAGGACATGATAACCCTCATAAGTAAATGAAGATCCAAAGAAGTGGCAATACCTAAATACTTTTATACTAGGTTGAATAAACAGAATTATTGAAAAGTAAAATATATGGGAGGCTAAAGAAAGATAAATTTTTTTTAAAGAGAGTGAGAGAGGAGAGAGAGAGAGAGAGAGAGAGAGAGAGAGAGAGAGAGAGAATTTTTAATATTTATTTTCTAGTTCTCCGCGGACACAACATCTTTGTTGGTATGTGGTGCTGAGGATGGAACCCGGGCCGCACGCATGCGAGGCGAGAGTGCTACCGCTTGAGCCACATCCCCAGCCCCAATATTTTAATAACATCTGTATATATATCTTGTAGAGATCCAGACCATATGTGTGCTATTTCTTACCTCATGAACAGCTGACTATAGGTATTAGCTTCAATTTACAGGTAAGGAAACAGGATAAGAAAGGTTTAATAGTTTGCCCGCGGTCCTATAGCTGAGAAGTAATAGAACCTGGGCTGGTTCTAGGTGCTGGTTCAACTCACTATTTTATACCTGCCAGTGGACTTTGAGGAGGAGATCAAGATCTCATGGTTTGAAAGATGTGCTTTGCAACAATAATTGTTGGTGAGGATGTGGGGGAAAAGGTACACTCATACATTGCTGGTGGAACTGCAAATTGGTGCAACCACTCTGAACGCAGTATGGAGATGCCTTAGAAAACTTGGAATGGAACCACCATTTGACCCAGCTATTCCACTCCTTGGTCTACACCCAAAAGACTTAAAATCAGCATACTACAGTGACGCATCCATATTATAGCAGCTCAATTCACAATAGCTAAACTATGGAACTAACCTAGATGCCCTTCAATTGATGAATAAAGAAACCAGATATATATACACAATGGAATATTACTCAGCATTAAAAGAAAATAAATTATGGCATTTACAGATAAATGGAGATGGAGAATATCATGCTAAGCAAAATAAGCCAGTCCCAAAAATGCAAAGGCCAAATTTTTCTCTGAAATGTGACTACTGATCCATAATGGGGGACAGGGGGAAGAATGGAGGAACTTTAGATTGGGCAGAAGGGATTGAGGGGAGGGGAGGGGGTTTGGTGGTGGGAAGGGTGATGGAATGAGACCAACATTATTACCCTATGTAATTGCACAAATGGTGTGACTGCATCATGTACAACCAGAGAAATGAAAAATTGTGCTCCATTTGTGAATGATGAATTGAAATGCATTCTGCTGTCATGTATAAATAATTAGAACAAATTTAAAAACAAAGATGTGTTTTGTTTCTTAGGTTAGTGGTTCTGAAACCACTTGGAAGGTGATGCCTCTGGGAGTTTTTGGTTTAATAGACCTGGGGTGACTAAAAATGTGGGTATTCAACAAGTTCCATGGTGATGCTGTGGCTACTGATCCTTAAACTACATTTTGATCCTTAAACCTTCAGTTTAGGCTGAAGGTTCTGGGTTGCCATGGAAACGAGTCTGAGTTTGGCAGATGATCCTTGGTATTTTTACTTTCCTTTAATACTAGAGGTTGATGGTTAGGGTTTTCCAACATTATTTTGCCAGCCTCCAGTGAGAACAGCAGCTATTAGCTAAACAGGCCACCCTGTTGAAATCTCAAGTGTCCCTCAGAGGCACAATCAATTGCTATTGGATGGGCAGGAAGCAATTAAGCATCCCAGGGGATTGTTGATCAGCCTTCAAAGGCAGCCTCATCAGCTTTCATTCATTGTAGACACATCCAATAGGGGCCTCAGCTGCAGGAAAGAAGGTAGGATGTGTGCCCAGAAATTCAGAGAATGTGGAAATGTAGAGCCAAGATACCTTTAAAAGACTCCACCTGCACTCCCGCTTTCTCCCCTGTTACGAGTTGGGGAAACTGAAGCCCTATCGTAACATGATAACTGTTACAAAAGTTTTTCTTCTTTCCAWCTTGGAGTCCACATACCCATGAGCAGGCTAGACTTCTGTGTGTTCAGATCCTGTTCTGGGACATTCTTGAATAATTGCTAACATGATGATCATTTACATACCAGATATTCCAGGTAGAAAAGCCAGAACCTCTACAAAGAGGAAAAGTGTTTTCAGTCCTGGGAGCCTCTCCTCTCATGGGAGACAGTCAATGCAACCAACCTGAATAGAAAATTCCCTTTTAAAAATCCCTTTTAATTGCTGTTTTCTTTGGTCTAATTGAAGCCCACTCTTCTGAGCTATTATAATACTGTGAGGAAGGCAGGGTATACAAGTCCCATGTTACAGATGAGAAACACAAAATGACTTGCCTGATACCACCCAGCTAGGAAGTGGCAACGCAAAGCTCTAACCTCATTCTCTGCATCCAGTCCTGTGCATTAGCAGCTCTGGATGTTGGGTGCGGTCCCTGAGAAAGGCTGAGTGTTTGCAAGGAGAGTGGACAGAGGGAGAAGAAACACTTATTACCTATCTGGTGTCCAGGATTGTGTTAGATATTTTATATTTACCGAATATGATTATTCTATAAACACCTCATAGGTCAGTAGAGTTTGACATTATCATCCTATTTTATAAATGGAGAAATAGTCTCAGAAAAGGGAACTTGTCCAAGGTCACACTGCTGGTAATGGGTGGGTTTAAATCTGAGCCCTGACTCTCCCCTTGATCATACTGTCTAGGGCAAGGGAACATGTTAGGTACCCTATTTACAGGAGGCAGACAACTGGTTGACTGCAGTGTTACAAATGGTATCACTCAGGAAGACAGTGACAAGGGGGAGGTGGGGATGTCACTGAGGTGCCTGGCACTTTGCAAACACTCCATAAAATGTTAGCTTTTTTTCATTTCTGACTCACACAATGAAATCTGTTTTTAAATTTGGAATGGAAACAGATAAATGCTACCAAGTACTCCAAGGAGTACTTGAAAAGAGGGAAAGGGTTTGACTAAATATAATAAAAATATATATCTAATAAAAATTAAATTAAAAATTAATCTCTTTTTTTCTTTCCACAGTTCTTCCACCTCAACCACATGCTATTCTTTGTGATGAAATACTGTTGATCTGCAAGTTGTTCTTCTAAGACTTGAAATACATATAAGTGGATTGAAATGGTAGAGATGGAATGCGGTAGGCCCAAGGTCTGAATAGGAACATCTCCTAAGCAAATTAACAAACCTGCTTTCCAGCTGCCCAGTTGTCTCAGCGACCACTTACCAGTCCTTCACTCAAATCCTTTGCTAGTCTACCTTTACTTTTTAAAATTTTTTTTATAGTTTTAGATCGACACAATGCCTTTATTTTATTTGTTTATTTTTATGTGGTGCTGAAGATCGAACCCAATGCCTTGTGCATGCTAGGCAAGCGCTCTGCCACTGAGCTACAGCCCCAGCCCCCTACCTCTATTTTTTTTTATCAGCTTCAAGGTTCCTGCTGGTTATATCCTGCCTGCTATCATGACTCATCTAATTCTTCTCTATCTTAGGAATAATTTATGAGTATGTTCTTTTTGTTTTGTATTGTGTGCATTATAATTATTCACAATAGTGGGATTCATTGTGACATATTTGTACATACATATAACATAATTGGGTCAATTTCATTCCTCAGTATCTCATCCTTTTCTCCCATCTTCCCTATCTGACCCCCTTCCTTTACCAGTCTGTATTCTATTTTCATGAAATTTCCTTACATAGTAATTTCTTAATATTTTGTGGATAAATGAATACCCAGCCTGGGACTGGCTCTTTTGTGGGKAGAGGAAGGTTTATTTCTTCTCAACCACTAAGCTACAGGAGGGCTGGGACCACATCTTGGCCCCAGGGTCTAGGACAGTTTTTGGGTTTTGCTCATTTGTTTATTTTGTTTTTTGCTGGGTCTTGTTTGTGGTTGGTTTTGGTGTGTGTATATGTATGTGTTACTTGGGATCAAACCCTCCCCTCAAACATGCTAGGCAAGTGTCCTATCACTGAGCTACAATGAATATATCTTCCTGGACCTTGTGTGACTCAATTACATCCCCAAATAGTGTAACTTGGAAAGATTTTCC